TACAGGCCCCACAATTGATTGTGTTAAAGATAATTTAATCCATAAGTGATACAGTAAAATTCTCTCTTTGAGACAGGCCCCCATGGCTGGTTCAACTATGGTTATTTTAGTTGTGAAAACACAGTCTCGGTCTCCATGACATAAGCAATACAGGTGGTTGGGGCAATTATCCAAGTACTCTAATTCAGAGAAAACATTTGCTCTTCTGGAAATTACCTGGGTCATTTGACATGTGTTTTGCTTGAACTAGTTCAATAATTTTTCCAATCCTTTACTCTGCTTTTGCCAGATACACACAACCTTATGATGTCTAGACATAAAATATAAGCCAGAGATGCAGGATTTTCTTTGCTATAGAGCTTAACCAGGACTTTTCTGAGCTAACAGGTGTAGTATTAACTAAAATTAGGAAAAAATATTTGTTGACCTAAGTCTTTGTTGTACAGGAAGTGTGTAGAGTGAATAGCAGAGATCATGGCTGTTCTAGGTCAGGAACCAGAATGCCATAATACCAGTACTTAGCTTGCAATCAAACCTATTATATAATAGGACCATCCACACCAATGTTTTTAAAAAATTTTATTAATCATTCTATCCAGTCATGATTCCACTAACTTAGAAAAAAAATCACCATTTTGAAAGACATGTACATGATTATAGTAGGAAATACAAACTTATATGTCAAGACAAGATGGCTAAATTAAATGCCTGAGTGTAATATAATATGGAGTGGTGCAGGCTATTGCAATTGTAATATTCATGCCCCATCTAGAGGTGGCATCCATTACTCAGCTTTAGTCAATGGAGACTATCTATAATAATAAAAGTATAATATGCAAATTGACCAAACAACCAAACAGCAGAATGACCATCTGGACGACCTTCCGGATGACCACGCTATGACATGCACTGGAGCCAGGCCAGCCAGGTGGGTGTGTTGGGGGTCCCCACCATCGCCCCACAATCGCCCACAGAGGGAGGCCCAGGCCAGCCAAGCAATCGCACCCCACGCCTGTCGCCCGTCCACTAGTGGCAGTGGAGGGGAGAAGCAATGGTGGGGAAGCGGGGATAGCGCTGCACAGATGGCAAGTAGTGACAGTGGCAGTGCGGGGCCAGCTGCTGGCCGCTGGGGAAAGGAAAGTGCTGGTCAGGCCTAGGGACCCTACCCAAGGGATCCCAGATTGCGGATTGCAGATTGATAGAGGGCGCAGGCCGGGCTGAGGGACACCCCTCCCCCCACCCCACCCCACACCCTGCACAAATTTTATGCACGGGCCTCTAATGTATAAATATGGTCCCAGTCTTTCTAGACTTTCCATTTTTTAATGAAAGTCAGAAACCTAGATCTTCATATAAATTTTCCCAATGGTTAAAATGCTGGCAACATCTTGTAGTTCATGAGAGCCAATTAATAATAACATGCCATCTCTTATCTTGAGTACATTGCCAATTGAGAAATGAGTAAGACAGGAATAAGACAGATGGAGATCAGGATGTCAACATTATTTCTGATAAAACTCATTGAAGAACAAGGCTAAATCTGCAGCCAATTATCTTTTCTCATCACTACCCTCCCCAGAAGAAACGTGTGTGCAGAACTTCCTTGTAAGGGAAGAGGGATCATAGTGCTCTCAGACTGTTAATAGATGAGGAGCTGGATATTAAGAAATGAGGACCAATGAATACCAGATCTAGCCTCCTACCCATCAGGGAGGGAGATGAGAAAGCTTGTAGTGTGAAGTCCCCCCTACTGCCACCATCATTTACCCATGAAAATATAAGGTATAAGTCCAGGGGAATGAGGTATAAGGGGAATGAGATAAATATAAGGTATAAGTTCCATATTGTAACAACCAGTTCATTTTTCAAAATTCTCTGCAAATGAAACACAACTAGACTCAGCCCACAGATACCCAATTTTCAATATCAGGTTTATACTTGTTTTGGTTTTAAATTTGTAGGTTAGTTGCAATTATTGGAAGTAAAAGGTTGCAGTAATAGGCTTGGTTTTCCCAACAATATATGTCAGGAAATAGATTTCAGTTGATGTCCAATGCTGTACTCTATTTACCTGGCTCCAGTTCTGACTTCCCATTTCTCTCCCACTTATGCATTAGTTTCATATATGCTAAGAGTGTTAGCTTCCAATTTCTGTCCTTGCCTCACCATTCTAATTTAACATCTGAAGTAGTTTTCCTGGCGACTATTTTGACTTCTCCATGATTCTGGTTCCTCCTCCCCTACCCATTTCCAGCCATGATCCCTAGAGATGGTTTGAATAAACACTCTATTAGGTTCAACACCAGAGACCCCCTCAGAATGTGTGGTTCTCCCATTAGGCTTGCTCCAGACCATTCAACAGGAAATGGCATTCATAGTTTTTCCATTATCGGTGGTTCTGGAAATGTTTATTAAATACATTGTGCAATGAGTGGACCATTGGCTGAGGCAGTGATATTTGTCATAACAGGATCAGTCTTGTTCTAATAGTTTGGCGTTGTAGATGGGTTTTTTATTCAGCAGAGAGAAAACAAAGTCATCCTTGATGGAAATGTCTCAAGAAAAATTATTTCCTCCCTAACATGGCTGAATCTCAAGAAGTATTTTTAAAATCTAGCTTTCGTTTTTATAAAACTCCTCTCTTAGAATCATAATTGACGAAAAAATCATTTACATTTTAGTGTAGCCGTGATCTGGTGCATTTTACATGTGTAGCCCTGATTCACTGCTTGCTCTTTGGTGTGTTTTTGATTATTTAAGAGCTGGTTTTTTTAGGCATATGACATCTACATATCAAAATGATGACCCTTTCCTTGCATACTACTTCTGGAATGTCCTCATCTGGAGCTTTCTCCCACTATATTCAAGGGAGGTCTGGTGGTTTACGCAGAGTGCTTTGAAGAGGATGCTAAACAGGATGCTGGAACCCATGTTTGGTGTTGTCCTTTTTTGTTCTAAGATGACCCCAATAGATAATTTTTTTATGTATGTGTGGGGGGGATAATCTCAGTCCTGGATTCTCAGCCTGCTCAGCTTTGTGCCTTGAATTTCTGCTCCAGCCAACATAACCCAGTAAGGAAGTTAATCTCCACCAAGGCAGGCAGGAGGCCAAAATACTAAGGCCCGCCAGCCACGAGCAATGTAATGAGTCAGGCTGGAAGTCATAGGTTCTAACTTGGGTGAGCATCCACCATCCACCAAAACTTGGTTACCAAATGGGTTTCATTTATTGAGTAACTATGGTTTTGGAACTGCACTAAGTGTTTTTTGTTTAATATTATCTCTTCTAATTTAATCCTTGCTACATCCATGAGATAGGGATTCTCAGATATTAAAAAAGTCAGGCTCAGAGTATTTAAAGATATACACAGGGCCACACAGCTAGGTAGTAACAGAGCAAGAATTTTACTCTGGGTATCTGATCCAGTGCCTGTCAAACAATACCCATTGGCCAGACTCTATAATTTTGCTTTCCCTAGGCCAATGATGGCGAACCTTTTGAGCTCGGCGTGTCAGCATTTTGAAAAACCCTAACTTAACTCTGGTGCCATGTCACATATAGAAATTTTTTGATATTTGCAACCATAGTAAAACAAAGGCTTATATTTTTGATATTTATGTTATATATTTAAATGCCATTTCACAAAGAAAAATCAACCAAAAAAATGAGTTCGCGTGTCACTTCTGACACGTGTGTCATAGGTTCGCCATCACTGCCCTAGGCATTCATTTCAGTATTCCAGCTCTCCATTTGGTTGGGAGCTCTGGCACTTGCCTAGCTTTTAGTAACTCTACCCAGGTTGATTTAGAGCAACCATCCGTTGGGTGGCCCTGACTGTATCTTTTAGCTTGAACTCTCAGTTAGAGACTGCTTCAATTTGCTAAGGCTTTCATATCAAAATTAGAGGCCCAATGAACGAAATGCATGCAAGAGTAGGCCTTCGCAGCCCTGCTTCCTCCGGAAAGTTGTCCGGACCGGCCACTCAGTCGATGTGCATATTACACTTTTATTATTACTAGTATTGACTAGTATAGATACCACAGACTGGGTGGGTTAAACAACAGAAATCCATTTTCTTACAGTTTAGGAAACTAGACATCCAAAATAAAGGTGTCACATGTTTGCTTTCTTCAGAGGTCTTTCTCCTTGGCTTGCAGGCAGCTATCTTCTTGCTATGTCCTCACATGGTCCTTTACTGTGTGTGTGTGTGTGTGTGTGTGTGTGTGTGTGTGTGTGTGTGTCCTTGATATCTCTGTGTGTTGTAATCTCTTAGTATAATCAAATTGGATTAGAATCTACCATAACAGCTTCATTTTAGCTTAATTACCTGGTAAAGATCCTATGTCCAAATGCAATTCATTTCTGGGGTACTGGGGTTAGGGCTTCAATGTATACTTTTTCTAGGGAACACAATTTAGCCCATAACAGGGACTGAGAGCCTGCTAGTCATGAACTGATTACTCAGGTTTCCAGTACCAGTATTGTCTCTGACTGCTTTTGACTATCACTGCTGGCCCTGCTGGAACACACTGTTGACTGAACCACCCTGTAAGAGGGGACCTAAGATTGTGAAGTCAACTGGAAATTGAAACCTTAGCTTTTGTACCCCATTTCCCCACATCCTAATTTCCACCTCTTTCCCACCTGTCATTTCCAAAACACCTGCCATTGTGCCCATGACTAAAAAGACTAATTCTTAAGACCATTCTCTTAACATGGAAATTGTTCATGGGCTCTAGTTATATTGCAGATTAAAGATATATCTTTATTTGAGGCTCTTCATTTTCACCTTTATTTCACCTTTTCATATTTTACACCATACGATGACCCAGATACCTTATAGCTAGTGAGTGTTGAAAAGTATCTTTTTGAGGTCTTAGTGGTAGAATACAGCAGGTGTGCACATAAGCTCTGGGTAATCATTGGAGTGCCAACTTATTACTAAGTGACCTTGGGCATGTTTCCTGACCTCTATGTTGCACTTTCCTCATATGTACAGGAGGAAAAGTACTAACACCTCTCTGATGAATTTGTTGCTGGAATGTCTGGCCCACAGTAAGTACTCAAAAAATTTTTTATCTAATTTTTACAATTAGTGTGAGAGTTTATAGAATTATCTTTATCCTTTAGTGTTATTTTATTCTGGGTAATTTTTTGAAATGTGCATATGTGTATCATTTATGGCATTCTTTTATTCTACAAAAGATAAAAACTCAACTCAAACTTGTTTAAACATTGAAAATAATTTATTAGATTTTATAAATCAAGCAATTCATGGACATACCAGCTTCAGATATGCCTTATTCAGGGTCCAAACAGTGTCTTTAGAATGCAGTTTTTCTCTATACATTTCTCAGCTATGTGACCTTAGTGTTGTCTACATTTTAATGGCTCCTTTCTCATGCTTGAAAGACGACTCTCTTCATCTCTTGGAGCTGCCTGCTTCTATGTTGAAAGCCAGTGAAAAAGAGTAAGCAGCATCTTTATCCAGAATTTCCAGAAATCATTCTGTTGTCTACTTTGATTGCATTAGGTGAGTCCCTGGGTTCATCTTTGCTTTGATTAGTAATATTAGGATGCAGGACTTTGGCCAGGTCTGAGCCATTCACTCCATTCTGGAGTTAAGGGTAGAGTCAATTCTACTGGAAGCACATGGGTTGAATGTGAGGAAAATTGGGATATAACTACTAGAAGGAAGATAAAAAGATTCTAGACAGAAAATTATAGATATTCACAGCATGAATACATTAAAATAGACTTGGAGGACTTTGAGTGTAACTATGGGGACTCTAGTACATATTATAATTCAGTTCTCTGTGTGTCAAAACCTATTACATTGTATGACTAATTAGGTATAGCATTATATAGAAGACAGCACCAATTCATGAGATAGTGGATCTCCTAAATGAGCCAAGTAGACATATGTTAACATACATAATGCTGGGTGTGAGAGATTTTCACATTTTTGTTTTTAAGAATGGGGAAGAGGTCTTTGAACTTCTCCTTTTCATTACAAAAAGGGAATTATGGCTAGAGTTGGCCCTTTGGGTGGAGTCACTGTACATGGTTGAAAACCTGTTTCTCCTCTTTTGGTATACTGACCTGGTTTGGCTACATTGGGAGAAGTTCAGCCACCTGTCTTTGGATGCTTGTTTTCCACTATATCCTAAGAATGCCCAATTCAGCTGCAACTGCAGAGATAAGCACTCAAACTGATTGGATCTTGTTGAGATAGAATAGTCTTCCTACTGGCTTTTAGCTCATTTAAATCTGCATCATTGGCTATAGGAGCTCTCTATGTAATCGAGCCCAGTTTGCTTGAATTATGCTTTGGCATTTGGGGTTAAGTCCCCTCTATTTTGCCTCTTTCATTTAATACCTCCCTTGGAGACATTATACAGTAAGTAGTGTGTACCCAAGGTAAGAATTCAGGTAGTGCTAAGGCCCCTGGCTAAAATACCATCATGATATCTTTATGCCACCATTTAATTGCACCAAATTAAATGTTGCAAACAAAACTTTTGAGAATATTTATGTGTAATATTATTGTCTTTAAACTCCAGAATTAAAGGTCCAAAGAATGAACAAAAGGGAAATCAAAGGCACATTATATTGCTCATATGCTTGTAGAATATATATCAGTAGTCTGAGATGGGCTGTCAAAACTCCTTGGGGATGGGAGCATGTTGAGCATTTTCCACTTTCCCTCAGACATGTACTTTTGCTTTATTTCTCCTAAGCTCTAAAGGTTCCCAGGATTGCCCTAGCTGGTTTGGCTCAGAGGATAGAGTATTAGACTGAAGGGTCCTGGGTTCAGTTCTGGTCAAGGGCACTTGCCTGGGTTACAAGCTTGATCCCCAGTAAGAGGTGTGCAGGAGGCAGCTGATCAATGATTCACATCATTGATGTTTCTCTCTTTCCCTCTCCCTTCCTCTCTGAAATCAATGAAAATATATTAAAAATAAATAAAGGTTCCCAGGAAACTTGCAACCAGGAGAGCAGTGGGCAGCAGCAGCAGCTTGTCCTAGACTAACCCCCTGAAACTATCTCCAAGGGCCCTCCTTTTGCCTCTCCTTTCCTGAGTCCACGCAGCCCATTGTGACTTATTTCCCTTAGTGTGACTTCCTTTCCTGAGTCTAGACAGCCAGTCTAGGCTCACTCCTATTGCTGTGACTTTGTTTTTTCATCTTAAGCCCTTTCTTTGTTTCACTGTTCCCAGCTTTAATAAACACAAAACAACAACAACAAAAACAAAACACACACACACACACACACACACACACACACACACACACACACACGAAAAAAATCCCACAAAGGAATCTGGCTCAGAGAACCAAAGTTGAGTAAAACATCTTAATGGAACCAACTGTTTACTAATATGATTTCCATGGGAGAAATCTGGCCCCTAGCTCAAATTTTTTTTTTCTTAATACAAACTGATCTACTTAGAAGATTTGTTTTCTTAACCCAAAGCCTTAAAATTATTTTTGTGAAGTACACCACTGTTATACAGTGTGACTGTTGTCCATTTCTCTCGTTAGGAGAGAGTGGAAAACATCAAATCTTGTCAAATGAAGCAAAGGAAAAAAAATTAGTCTTTCATTTGTAGGAGAGAAAATAGCACTCCAGGGACTCAAATGTCTTCTCTGTATTACTAGGCAATCCCTAATTGAGCCCTTTCAAAAATCCCACTTCACAATTTATGTCTTAGAAATTCCCTCTAATTTAAAGTACTCAACAGTTTAGCATCTGAGAATGTCCCCTCCTGAGCTAGAAGGACTAATGATCAAAAAGGAACCTGTGAGATATAAAGATATTTAACATCTCTCATGTGAGTTCAGTGATTTAGAAGAGATTGATATGCCAGTTTGTTTTATTTTAATGACCTTTTCTGTATGTGGCCTTTCTGAATCCCATAATAACACTTTGTTTATACAGATAATTTTCTCTCCAGCAGGGGCTCTTACATGCTTTAATAACCTCTTCTCATAAATCAACTAGTATACTGTGAAGTTTGATGAGGTACAGAGGCTGGGAAGGTTTCCCTCAAGTCTGCCAACTGGGGCCATGATTGCTCTATTCTCCTCTCCCACACTTCCAAGTGGGCTGATGTTGGTGTAGGGACCGGGCAGGGCTTAATTGGGCAGGGAGGTCATCTCACAGTAGCCTGGGGTGAGTGCAAACTCTTTGAGGACCAGAGTGTCTAAGAAGGTCCCATGTGAAAAAGACAAAATCTGAATTTTATCCAGATCAAGGAAACCTTGGATGAAAGATTCTTGGGTTTGGCTTTGGTAATCTGTTAGGAGTGCCATACTTTTTATTACCCCCAGCCTTCCTTTACAATTTTAAATATCTTCTACACTGGGTGAAGTGAATTAGGAGGTATTCTTTTGGTTGCACAAGGTAGAAACAGAGCTCAGGTTGGAATAGACACAAAAGAAAAAATTATGGATGATATTACTGAGATTCTCAAAGAAGGCTTCAGATATTGTCTGATCCAAGGTATCAGATGATATCAAGGAGCTCTTTCTTTTTCTAATCTCTTGGCTTTGGTTTCTACTAGAAGTCTTCAGCCAGGCTTTTGACACATTGTGAGAAAAATGGCAGTTAGCAATCTCCTATTCCTATCTTTATAATTTAGGATTCAAGGGAACAGAGAGACCTTCTTCTTTCTCTTGGTATGTCTGTATCAAACTGTAAGGAGTGCACTGACACTGTGATTGATGATCTAAATAGAGCCACAGGGAATGGACTGTGTATGAGGATGGGTTTCTCAAAGTTGTCAGAGAAGGGAAATGCAAAAAATCTGCTGGACTGACCCACCTCTATTAGCTCTACACACCTCTTTCCTGTAACTTGTCCTGCCCCTTCCTAACACACACACGCACACTCACACACACACACTCACAAAGTGTTTATACAGGCCTGGCTAAAATGTTCTGAAAGGAAACCTCATATGATAAAAATAAAAAATATGGCATAATCAACTAGTTACCCTCTTGAGGGTAAAATTATAATACCACAAGCAAACCCTAATGATACTTATCATGTCTATTTTATTTCACAAACACTATTTTATCTAACAAAAATATGTACCAGACACTATTCCACGTATTTTACAAATATTAACTGATTTCACAAATCCTAATAATAACGCTGAGGTACATACTATTGTTATTTCCAATTTAGGAATTCCCAAATTAGGAAACTGAGGTGCAGAGTGGCTAAGGCATTCGTACATAGGTAGTAGGAGTCTGAGACAGAACTTAAATCCAGGTAGTCTGGAAAAGATTTATTTGAAAAGAACTTAAATATATTAAACACACAATCTCCTGTTCATTCGCCTTTGTCCTGTTAAAGCTGCTTCATTAATGTCTGCTATGTCCTTTTCTTGAAACACACATCAGAGTTCCCAGCAGGTAGATGTCTTATGCTCTCCACTACTTTGTGACCCATCTCCTCACTTAGTACATGCAGTCGAGTTGGCATTGCTCTGGACCCAGACAGACTACAGAGATACTATGCAAAGAATCTGACACCTAGTGGACTTTCAATATGGGTTCATTTCTTTCACATTTACCCTAGTTTTGTTTCTGCTAATATTTACTTGGTTATTTATTTATTTATTTACTTACTTACTTATTTTTAAAATGTTTAGCTTACCTGGCTGGCATAGCTCAGCGTTTTATTTATGTACTAGAGGCCTGGTGCACAACATTCGTGCACATGGGGAGGGGAAGGAGGGGGTGTCTCTCAGCCTGGCCTGCACCCTTTTACAGTCCAGGAGCCCTCAGGGGATGTCCGACTGATGGCTTAAGCGGGCAGTCGGACATCCTTAGCACTGCTGCAGAGGTGGCAGCAGCTCTCAGCACTGCTCCTGCGCCAGCCGTCAGCCCAGGCTGAGCAGCGCGCCCCCTGTGGGAGCAGACTGACCACCAGGGGGGCAGCTCCTGCATTGAGCATCTACCCCCTGGTGGTCAGTGCGCATCATAGCGACCGGTCTTTCCGCCTTTTGATCGATTTGCATATTACCCTTTTATTATATAGGATTCTTCTACCAGTGGATATTTAGATTTTGAAAATATTTACAATTATAAAAAAGGCTGTAATTAATATATCCTTAAAGGATGTTTTAGCATGTTCTACCAGCTAGAACTGCCTAGTTTACAGCAACACATGGATTGCTGTAGCATCAACATTAACATGGTATAATCACACTGGTATGCTGAGGCCAACCCATTTTGTTTTGCAAGAAGCAGTTGTTAAAATTTCATGAATTCTGTGAGGCAATTGCTAAAAATAGCCATTATTAAAAATACAATTCTATAAATTTACAAGGGAATACAATTATATTTTAAAGGTAATAAGTACTCAAAACTCACCACTTCCTAATTATTTAACTCAACTATGAGTCTATGTTCATGAGGTTATTTATGTCTATTATTTCTGTGTGGTGGAAATACTACACAGAGTGTGGCAAAAATAGGTTTACAGTTGTGAATACATAAAACACAGAGCATATTATTATAT